TACAAAATTGCAGGCTTGGAATGAATTTTGATAATTCAGGCGGAATTTCTCCTTTTGTAAGGTAAAGATCTGTCCTCCTCACGCACATATATGATTTTGCCATGTTAATAAATATTGTGATGGTCCCATGTGCGCAAATTCCCTTGTCTTGTGCGCAGAGCATTTATGCATTGCAATATTCTTTGTTTCATTGTGTTTCCTTATGCATTTGGTAGTGATGGTTGATCCCTTAGCCTGCAGTTGCAATCTTACCTGTCCACACGGTCAGCTTTTAGTGGTTTCCGTCAGTAATTCAATATAAGGATTTGGGTTACCTAACACTATATTTGCAAATTATGTAGATGGAACCCATCGATAGTTCTTGAAGTTGACACCTACTTTCACTTAAACATCTCAAGTAGGTGTTGTTCATTTTAAACACCTCAAGTAGGGTCCCGCTATGCCATTTTGACATTTTTCTACAATCAGCAACAATATATAATGTATGTGTTACACTCGCGAATGATGTGTAAAGCGTCGAATTAAAATTTAAATGAGGACATTTGTCATTTATCCCCAAAATAATTCTTGAACAATGAATATTGAGTAAAATAAAAAGTAGCCAATGATTTGGTGACGAGTAGCATATTTTCCCAAATAATTACAAAAAGGGGATTTAACCACTTTTAAAAAATCTATTTTGCAGAATACCCACCCCAACCCCTCGACCCCGACCATCTTCTCCAGCAGAATCAAACCCACCCCCCTTCGTCTTCTCCGACATACCCAAACTCTCTCTATCTTTTATAGAAATTTTTTTAAGCTGGTGTCTTTCAAATACTCTTCCTTATAAATTAAGCATTCCTTAAATCTTAAGGATTCCAATCCATCTCCCGTCGTAGAAGAATATTAGTTGGTTGCAGCTAAGTGGACAAAGGGTTCCACGATTGCTAATTAACAACAACATACCTACTGTGATCCCACCAGTGAGTCTGGGGAGGGTGGTGGGTGTACGCAGACCTTACCCTACCTTTGTGGGGGTAGAGAGACTGTTTTCGATAGACCTCTACTCAAGAACACTTTATTCTTTTAAAAAGAAAAAGCTATGCCTAAAATATTGACGAAAGAGAAGTACTAACAACAAAAATAGTAAAGATGACCAAAGTAGAAGTACCATGATTGCTAATCAAGGGCGCATATTTGGGTGTTCACTATTTCGGTCTAATTGTGTTTTAGGGACCCTTTGAGGCTATTTTGGACCTTGTTTATGATTTCATAGACCTAGTATAAATATCCATGTTTCTTCCTTCCGAAGGTTTAGGCTTTGATGAATGATGTCCATTTGAGTGTTGCACGCTCTTGTTAGCATAGATTAGGGTTAGCTTGGTTCTCTTCTTCAACCTCATTGAATTATCATCATAGTTAGGTAATTCCTGTATGAGTTCTATTTTCTTTTCTTGGATTGTTTCTTAATTTGAATGTTAATCTAGTTGGTGTTTAGTTATCTTTTAAATGTTATTGATGTGAATTGATTGCATTCTAATTACTTGATTTGTCCCTTCTTTGCTAGCTATCTTGGGTAGTGATTATTGTTGTATTATCAAGTTGTCCAACTTACTTCATAGTTATGTGCTTGATGCTTCCGAGCACTTGTGGATTACACTGGGCTTGTTGTGCTCGATACTTCTAACCCTTATCCCTATTCCACATATCCCTTTACATGTTTTTCATTCGATCTTCTTAGTGTTCTTGGGGTTTAGTTAAATTCATAACCCGTTCTTTGCATCTTCATGGGTTGAGAATTATCTTTGCATCTTCATGGGTCGAGAGTTATCACTAGCTCAGTGGAGTGATGAACGAAATAAGAGGCTCATTTTATCTTTGATATATCACGATGTCAAGTTTTTCATCCAAGTAGTATTGCCTCATTGGTTGGATAATTGCTAGAGAGTAAACATCAGCAGTGCATAAACAAGACGAGCTCCAGCACAAAACAATGTTCATAGGTAGCAATTAGCATTAGAATAAAAAGAAATCACTTACCACCCATCCACTCACCCCTCAAAACAAAAAAAATAATGAAATTCCCCTTCTTTGATTACTTTTTTATTTTTTTTATTTTTTATATCGGTAACGTTAGGATTTTATAAATGTAAAGAGCACTAAGAAAATGCAGGAAAGGAATACATCCAACAGAAGACTTGCAATGAATGTAAAGAACTATTAAGAAAACATTCTCTGGTTACTCCATTAATTGTCTCTCATAAAGCTTCTCAAAGACTCATTTAACATTTAAAAGGAAACAGGTTTCTCATGGACTCATCATAGTGTAACTCATTGCATTCTCTTCTCTAAGGAAATGGGCACGTCTGTAACTATGTGTTCGAAGCTTTTTTGTTGTAGTGGAACATTCAGTATTATATGCTATGCAGTTATTGCTGTCTTGATAAATTGCAATGGACATTCTGTCATCCTCTTTGCCTCTGCTCATTGTCATAGTTGTCTATTTGATGCCCTCATTAAGGCATTAACTTTGTGATGCCTAAATAGGGAACTGGAGCATAGTTCTTTATACTCTAGGGTACGAGATGTTGCAGACAGATGTCCACTACGGGCTTCCTTGAACTAGTAGAAACGGATGATCCCCGTACTAAAGATGTGAATGAACTCTGTAATTTGTTAATGATGAGGACCAAAAAGGAGGAAATACCTTAATAAGCCAATCGACCAAATAGAGTGTTGGGGACCTCAAATCAGGAAGAAAAAGATATGTAGGGTATAAAATTGAAAGGTTTGCCATCTTTTCTTGCGGAGAAATACATGTTGTCCATTTCTCTAGTCGCATTATGAAGTCCAGAGTACCCTAATAGCTATGCACTCTGCATGTGAACCTACATATATTTAGGTTAATGAATTATGAGAAGCATAATGTTTCCTTGCTTTCATGGCCTGTTTGAAGGGAAGGAAGAACCCTGTTTATCTTTTATCTGAGATACTCTTTTTTTTTTGTCTTGATCGCAGATCAGCTGCTGGTTAGGGTGGGTACTGATGAAGCCTTTAAATAACAGAATTGGTGCTTGTAGGTGTGCATTTTTGATGAACTGAGTTGAAGATCTTCGCTGCTTTTTATGCCATTCCCAATGTATTTCTAGCTATGCAAGTTTAGCCTTGTCACTATGAAAAGACGGCCAATCGTTGTTCATATTCTCCAATCAGTTAAAATTTCCGCTTAGTTTTGGATTGGATCTCCAAGACAAATGTCTTGGACTTGGTTTATATACATTTGTACTTGTTCTATTAATAACCTTTAACAACAATTGCTTAGCTACCATTAATAATAACTACTACATTCATCGAAAGAATATATAGATAGAAAACCAATAAACTTGTTGGCAAAAGAGAGCTCCACGGTAACGACAAAGTTCGACAAATGCTAAAAGTATATTACTATTAATTGAAAAAAGCAGAATATATCTCACGAAACCTAGATAAATATATAAAAGAAAGTACTAATCCAAAATATAAATGTGACAACTTTATAAATAAACTTATATTGTTCGTACTAATATGACTAATCCTATCGAATATTGTCTTCTAATAATATTCACAACTCTTCTTTATATTGGAATCTGTCGCATGTGAAATTTGCAACCTTCCGTTTGTGTGACATGAAATAATGTAACGTACAAAAACATTGCAAGTAGTGTGACTAATCTGAATAATTACAAGCAAGAAACATCCAATAACAAGAAATCTTAATCTTTCATATGACTCAAAGTTATGTTATCTTCACAACTTTCCTCGACTCCCATTGCGGATAATAATATTAGGACCTATGTATCCCCACCCCCTTTCTTAGTGCAAGCACTTAATCTAAATAATGGAGGGTGAATGTACCCTACAAGCACTGTCTACTTTATGTACTTCTGTTCCTATTTAATAATGTATATACAAGGCCTCGTTCAGCAAAAAAACAAAAAGAATTACATTATCTCACTACTAGAAAATAGGTCAGTTGCAACACAAGAAAATTCATTGCCATAAACTCAAAGAGTGTTGCAATTGCATTATGGCAACGGAAGATGGTGTGTTGCATATAAGCCTGTTGCGATATGTCTATAGTAACGGTTTTCTGGCAACAGTTGTAAACCGTTGCAATACACTATCTATAGCAACAATTATTCTTTAGTCTAGGTCGACACTATTCAATGGTTGCTGCAATGGCTGCGAACCGTTGCAAACGATATATCGCAACAACTTTATTATACAGCTCGGTCTAAGTTATTACAACGATTCTGCTAAACTATTGCAACAGTGTTATTAAGCTATTGCAATAGACTTTTTTAATGGTTATTGCAGGCTATTGTAGGCACTGTGTATATTCTTTATTTTTGAAATAAACTATAATACAATGATAGAAAATATTAAATCAATATGTACTTCAACTAGTAGCATCCATATATCAAAGATAAAAACACATGATCTTGATTTACAATTCAAGAGTTAACATACATGATATTCACAAAAATTAAGCCCAAACATAAAAATAGTCCTATAATGTTCAAGAGTTGGCATTCATTTAAGTTCACAAAAATTAGGCCAAAAAGTAAAAATAGTGCTAGAATGTTTGTAGATATATAGATAAACCAATTCTCTTTAAGTAATGTCTTCACTGCTTTCATCCCCGCTTTGCTCATTTTGTTCACCTACAATTTCAAAAGGGTCAGGAAAGAGGAAGTTCAAAAATGAAAAGGGAAAAGAAGACACACAACTCCTAATTTTTACTCTTTATGGACATAACCTATACTATCACATCACTTTTAAAAAAAAAGAAAAATGCAAAGTTATTGATATTGTAGTTTGGAAGAGAGCAGAGAATTACAATAATGTGGACTTACCAAAGGAGGACAAACTATTCAAGAACAACAAGTAGATTAAAGATAAAAGGGGCCATGATGAAACTAACTCACAGGAAACCAAGGCTCTAAGTGATAGTACTAACATAGAGAAGCTCTAACTGTTCATGAGGAGGAGCCAAACCTATCAGGAAACAACTTGAAAAATATAGCTATAACAGTGTACACGGATGAGGACAGTTTAGCAGCCAGTAAACACTTAGAAGAATTAACACCAACTGAAGAAGCTGAGAGGGAACAACTAAGTCAGAAACAAATCAGTTAGCTGACTACATTACAAGTATTGCACTTGAACAAGACAACTCAATCCATTACCACACTTTTCAAGTTCTCCCCACCAAAGGACGGAAGACATTAAATTCCGATAAATCATAAATTACAATCCTCAGAATCAGAACTAGAAAGATTACACAGTCATAAACATGATATTTGTTGATCAAAATAGAACAGTTAAACACAAGAGACAGAGTAACAAATAGGGGCTACATGAAGAGGCAATACAACAAGAACAAAGTCGGTCACTATACATAAAAAACAAACGATGAACCAAAAGGGAAAAACCAACAAATAGGGTCAGTATATTTTTACTAGAAACCAACAACACCTAAAATCAACCTAGATCTTGAGCACACCTTTTAAAACCTTCTTAGTCAATTGATGTTTTAAGTTTAGTTCAATTCTCCTAAACTATGCAAACAACAGTAACACTAATCTCGATACTATCAACTTCGATAAAAATAAAAAGATGATCGCAGTTGCACCAACAATAATACAAGAAGATTGTAAGTGTAGTAGCACAAGAAAACGAAGTAGAAGCAGATTAACATAATAGGCCATAAATGAAGATGAACCAAACAAGAAACTGCAAAAGCAGTAGTAGAAGAAAATGAAGAAGAAGGAGGAGGATTCTGACCTTGATTGTTGCTACTGGTAGATGAACGATGGATTGGCCGAATATTTGTTTCTCGTGTTGACGAAACATCAAGTAATGTTGCCAAAACATTAACATCAATTGGTAGGCCTAAACGTTGAAGTTTTGTTATGACATCTTCTACAATTTCTTGTCTCATCGTGGTCTTTTGTTGGTCAAATTGTTCCTTCTGTTCCTCAATTTTTTCCTCTATTCTCAGCATTCTGTCTTCCATCTTTTTCACGAGGTCATTTGTTGCATTTGATGAGGCTTCAAAATTTCCCACTTTCCCTTTCAAAGTAGTTTTTGTAACCCCTCTTCCATATAATCTCAAACATCTTGGATGTTCTGATCCCATGACAGAAGCAAATGCATCAATTGTCTCATTACCATCTTCATTTTGTTGCATTTCAATATTCTCCATCTCAGCCTATAATGCAGTTTTATTATAAAAAAACAAGAGAATTCAAGTACACATATAAAGAGTAAATATGAAAATACAAATTCAAATCAAACAAAATAAAAATTAGATAGAAATCTCACAATTTTACTAGTTTTATCTTCATCTGTATCCTTGTATGATCGATTGGGCTTTCTTTTTCTTGTAACAACAAAAAATTCCTTCAGTGATGGAGTATCATTAGTTTCCCTCTCTTTTTCCTGTACACATTAAAAGTGGATATCAAACATCTTCTTTAAAATGTGACATGTTTTTATTCAATGCTACGCAGGAGCTCATACCAAATCATTGCGAACTAAAGCAAAGCTTTTCTTGCCAACAGTATGTGGATTCTTCAACTTTTTCCGATTCTCACTGTTGGCTTTTGACATTTTCTACAAATAGAAGAGAATTTTCACAATGATCAAGTGATTTTTATAGAAAAGGAAAGCTTTTTTCCAGTGACTAGTGATCCATAAAAAAGATGAGAGCTCAGTGGTCTCCCAGAAAAAAGAGACACTGCCAGTGATCAGTTACAGAAGAAAAGAGCTCTTTATATAGCTTAAAATATTTTGAAAATGAAGAGCAAAAATAACCACCAAATCAGCTAATCACAATGTTCTCTTACTAAAAGAGAAGTAACTCAATCCATAAGGAATAAAATTTGACCAAGAAACATGTATTATAGGTTGTTCTCGGATCCAACAAGGACAAAAGGGAAAATGATAATATAAATCCCAACTTACCATAATTGAACCACTACCAAAGCTGTCATATAATTAAACCAAGTAGCAAGGATGGAAAGAAAACAATCGTTTAAGAAAAATATTATATTCTGAGAAGTATCAATTTAATAGTGGGATAAAGGTTCAATTACCATATTTAAGCAAGTACTATGACTGCCACAATTAATTATGGGAGTGCTAAACTAGAATCAATCACAATATAGAAGTAAAATCAATAACTTTCTTTAATTAATCTAAAATAAAATTGTAAAGAAGTTGGACCCACGAAACACTAAAATGAAGGAAATTTTTTATCTTTTCCTAAGATCGTTGAGTCAAATAACTCTTATTTCGTATTACCAACTAGTAAGACTTACCTGAAATTTTTCTGAGTTTCAATATTTAAGAAGTTCCTTAAATTGAGATGTTGGAACATCATCAGGCTTTTTTTCCATCCAAATTTGATCATTAGCGTAGGCATCAGAGTGGTGTGTTTTCAAATCAAACTTACGCCTTCTCCAAACTTCTTGAATTGTTTTTAAAGTCCATCTATTTCCGATTTCTGGAATATCATATTTCTCCTGAAAATTTGGACATTGAGTTAGTGCAATAAATGTTAAATACATTTAACTTAACAGAGAATCGAAAACTTCAAACCTTGGTATAATCCCACAAATCATGTTTTATGTCAAACAACTTCCAATTTTCTATATCAAGAGGACAAAGGGTCGCATTCCTAGCAAGTGTACCGAGGAAGTTGCTCAATTCTATCACAACATCATTACTAGGACCAACTGGCTGACCAGCTTTATTCAGTACAATCAGTTTATGATCATGCCTTCCATGTACATATAACATCTTTGTTTGACCTCTTTGTCTTTTTTTAGTGGAAGAGTCTACAATAATACCCAAATAAAGATAACCCTTCCAAAGTAGTATTGTAATTTGATTTTATAATTAAAAAAGAAAAGTAATATTATAAATAAAATATGGATGTTCTTGCCTTGTTCTTCACATTGTTCATTTACTTCAAGAGCAGTAGAGTTCAATTGAAGTTGTTCTTCTACTGGTTGCACTACATTGTTAGTTGAGTCAGCTTGTATACGAACTCCTACCTCTGGATTGTGTGATTCTAGCACATCTTGTTCTTCTATTACATCTGTTAGACGCTGACGCTTTTCGATTAGTAGATCCTTTCTTCTTCTAGCTAGCAACAACTTCTTTTGATTCGCCAAAGATGTGAGTGTTCTAGCTGGAACATTTGCTCTTGTTTCTTTATTCCTTATTCTTGAAGACTCTCGTTGTTTCATGACTACCAAGTATTGCCTGCTGTAAAAATAGAGATATAAAACTAAGGAGTTAGACATCCCAATAGAATCAAGAAGATAAAGCAGAATCAGTGAAAAAAAGATTACAGTCGCAATAATACGAACTAGTAAAAAGGAGAAAGGGTGAAGCAGAAATAAAAATCACCACTTCTTACTACCTGATTCACATAGGCTTTCTAAAGCAAAATCACTCAGCTTGTTTCAGCAAATGAAGCACTAAAGCAATCTCTAATATTTAGATAATCCAAAAAGACAGAAATACACAATAATAATAAAATATGCAAAATCAACATTCTTTCAATTGACTTTCAAACTAATAGTACATATAAGAAAATGCAATAGAGATATATAAGAAAAATCCCTTCGTCAATCATCAGCCACCATCCAATCCCAATCGACATCATCAAAGTCCTCATCTTTTTCTGATGTGTCCATATCTTCTTCCATATATTTTGAATGTTGATCATGAGTTGGCATATCAATGACATCACTAGGTACATCTTCTCTTGACCATCTGAGATCAACATCAACATCATGTATTCCATTTGATGGTCCAATGTCTCCAATATTAGGGCAATTCTCTTCTTCTAAATCAAATAAATCAACATGAACTTTGGTCCTTGCATAATAAACATCTTTCTCAATTGGATCCTCTACATAGAAAACTTGATGCACTTGAGATGCCAGTACAAATGGATCTTCAGTACTGCATAACTTGTTGAAGTATACCCAAGTTAATCCATATTCATCTACTTTATTACGAAACCAATCACATTTAAACAATACAACACTAAAGCAACCTCAATAATCAATCTCTATGATATCTTGAATAACTCCATAATAGACAACTTCTCCATCAATGGTGTTTTGGTCTCTAGCACTAGCAAAACTATCAGTCGTTGCTGATAAAGTCACTCCATAGTTCTGGGTCTTATCTTGACTATCTCGTTTCATTGTATGAAATCGATATCCATTGATGAAATATGTTGTATATCTTTTTGCCGCAATATTAGGCCCTTTATCGAGTTGTCGTAAATGTTCAGGCACTTCAACAAATTTAACTTTCTCCTCAAACCAGTTGCCAAATTCCTGACTATGATTCTGTGCTCTAATCCATGCATTTGATCTAATGTGATTGTCAATTACAGTCTTATGTTCCCTGCAAGCAAGCATGTTTCAAAGTTCTTATTATATAAAAAATATTGAAGTTTATAATAAAAGTGACATATCTTACATGATAAAGGTCTCCATTTTTTCATCTCCAGTATTAAACAATACATATCGATGTATATCAACACATAACTGGAGATCCATGTGAAAATTATTGCCTTTGCTTTTTTTCTCCTTTCCAATCGGATGGCCAAATTTAGGGAACATAGGTGACAAATTATCTCCCTCTGTTTCAATTCCCTGCTCATTCTCTAATTGGTATCGACTAAATTTTGTTTTCACCCCAGCATGTAGGTATCTAGAACATAAATTCACGCTCTCTAGTGCCACAAATCCCTCTAGTATTGATGCTTCTAGATGAAATCGATTACGAACAGGCCCCTTGAAGAAACATAGGTTTCTTTTAGTAGAATACATCCAATGAAGATGTGTTGGACCCCCAAGCTTAATTTCATTTACTAAATGGATGGGCAAATGTACCATTATATCAAAAAAAGATGGAGGGAAAATCTTTTCAAGGTCACGTATAATCTCATTGATCTCAGACTGCATTGTATCAAGATCTGCTCGCCTTATCACCTTGCTACTTATGACTTTAAAGAAGTTCCCCAACTGAATCAAAGCCATAGAAACTTTTTTGGGCAATACTTTTCTAACAACAATTTGGAGCAAGTAATGCATTATGAAATGAGCATCATGGCTCTTGTAAGCTGATGTTTTCATCTCATCCACTTCCACACATCTTGATATATTTGAAACACAACCTTTTGGTAATTTGGCATTTTTAAGAACAGTGAAAAATAACTTCTTTTCTGCTGGTTTCATGGAGAAACAAGCTTTAGCCAAATGAACTTTTCCATTATCATCTTGTACTGGTTGAAACTCCTTTCGTATCCCCATTTCTTGCAAGTCAGACTGAGAATTTACATGGTTTTTTGACTTTCCAGTTACATCCAACAAAGTCCCAAGCAAACTGTCACAAATTATTTTTTCAATGTGCATCACATCAAGATTGTGCCTCAGTTTGTTATGTTCCCAGTATGGCAATTCAAAAAAGATGGATCTTTTTTTCCATGGACCTTCACTATCACGACGCTTCCTTTTTTGGCCCTTTCCGAAAACATTATTGAATTCACACAACTCTTCTAATACTTCTGTGCCTGATAAGGGAGTAGGTGCAGATTTGTGATCTTTTTTACCATCAAATAATTTCTTATCTCTTCGAAATGGATGATCAGGAGGTAAGAATGCCCGATGACCCATGTAACACATCTTACGAATATGCTTGAGATATTAAGAGCATGTCCCATGATTACAAGTTGGGCATGCCTTTCTTCCTTTTGTGCTCCAACCAGAAAGCATTGCATAGGCTGGAAAATCACTATTGTCCACAATAGGGCTGCACACAATTGAAAAGTTTGGTTAGAATCAACATCATATGTTTCCATCCCAGTTTCCCACAATTCTTTCAATTCTGCAATTAGTGGTTGAAGGTAGACATCAATATCCTTTCCTGGAGGCGATGGACCTGGAATGATCATAGATAATATCATATACTCCGGTTTCATGCAAATCCACGGTGATAAATTATAATTCATTAACATAACAGGCTATGTGCTATGGGAAATACTCATGGTTCGAAATGGGTTGAAACCATCACTTGAAAGACCCAATCTAACATTACGAGGATCTCTAGTAAAATCTTCGTGCAAGGAATCAAAATTCTTCCAAGCTTCCCCGTCAGCCGCATGCCTTATATTGCCATATTTGGATCGTTCAGTATCATGCCATTCATATTTGCAGCTGATTCAGGACACATGAATATTCTCTGAAGCCTAGGTTTTAAGGGAAGGTACTTAAAACCTTTGCAGGAATTTGGGAGCTTTCATTAGTCAAGGGATCATACAGTCTTCCATCTAGATGAGCCACAAACAGAGCAATTATTTTCCTTCCAAAATAACAGGCAATCATTAGGACATGCATGTATTTTTTCATAATCAAGACCTGAATCTTTAATCACATTTTTTGCTTTGTGGAACGACTCAGGTATATGAGCAAATGGAAATGCCTCTCTTAACAGGTCTAGCAAGTCTCCAAAGGCCATATTACTTAAACCATGAATGCATTTGAACAAGAATAATTGAATGGTAAAATTCAGTTTAGAGAAATTCTCACACCCATGATATAACTCTTGTTTACCTTCCTCCAGCAATTTAAAAAATTTCTTTGCATCTTCAGACGGCCCCTCTCTCACTCCCTCAAGCCTCAAGTCACCTGCAACATCTCTAAAAGTATCATGAAGTAGGCCATCAATATTGTCACGCATGTTGGAACCTTCCTTATTATTATGATCTGGATTATTTCTCGAGGAAAAACTTTCCCCATGAAAAATTCATTTGGTGTACCCTTGCACAAACCCATAAACAACCATGTGATCCTCTACCACATTTCGATGATGCCACTTACAATTAGCACACTTTTTGCAAGGACACAATATTTCATCTCCTTTGGAAGCTCGTTCAAAAGCTGTATCAAGAAAGTTATTTACACCACTAATATACTCATTGGTGGATCTCCGGAGACCCATCCAACTTTTATCTCCACTATCCATTTAATATTGAATATCCTATATGACACCAAAATCAAATTACCAAGATAAGAAATAAAAGAGAAGATTCTGAATAGCACACCAACAGATTTGGTTCCCTTAAAAACTTACATTCAACAGATTTTGATCAGTGGCTCTATCTTATTTTATTTAACAACATAAATGAAATGTCTTTTTTCCTTGAACTATTTGTTATACATAATCAACTATCTACTTAACAATACCTATTTTACCTAGAATTTCAATTAGTTAAAAAGAGAAATGATGTAAAAGATTTAAAATCTAAAAACTCAATCTTAAGATAATAAGACACGACAGTAAAGTCAAACGATTTTGACAAATCTAAACACTTAGAAGATGTAATGGATTTCATATAAAAAATACAAAATTTCATATTACTTTGTCAAAGACAACAACCTCACTCAAGAAACTAAGTAGCACACGATTGCAAGACTCCCCTTGAGAGGCTGAGTTAATATTCAAAACCTTATGCCTAGCTCAACCAGACCCAGTATCTACTCAATTAGTTCTAGAATTAGCAATGGTCACAAAATAGAACATGAATCAGAAAAAAAATAGTAATAGGAAAGTCACATAAAAGGGAAATCTTATCCAACACTCTAAACTTACTATACATGTACAACATTTAGAGAGCACATATATGGGAAATAATCACCTGGAAATGATTATAAACAACACAAAAAGAATAGTAAAAACCAAGATTCACACACACATCAATGGAAATGAGAATAGACTAAAAAGAAACTGACTACAAAATTAAGAGACAAGGGAATATTATCTCTTTTTAAGCAGTGAATGGCTCACTACATGAAAACTTTACTAGTTATAACCTTTTAAATTAAAGATAAGCATAACTAAACTAACTTGGCAAATTTGAGCTAACAAGTTGAGGGTGTTGTGTCTCTAATTAAAGACTTCTAAATAAATTTAAAGGTAAAAGAAGCATAAAAGGACAACAAAACCAAAGTCACTAACCTCACCCAAGAAACTAAGCAGCTCAATCGTAAAACTTCAAATTTATAAGAAAAGACAAGGAGCAGCCTTAGAGAACTTGGATGTATGGTGAAATTTTAGACATGCATATCTAAATCTAGGAGCAGCCTTAGAGAGGTTGAGTTAACACTCAAAGCCTTATTTTGTGCTCAACTACACCAAGGATCTACTCAATATATTCCAAAAGCAA